TTCAAAGGTCCTTTCACTGGATGTGATCTTAGCTTCAAAGGTCCTTTCACTGGATGTGATCTAAGATTCAAAGGAGGTGTTTTGTTTTTTGGTCGGTACTTTTACCAGTACGTTTTTGATCATAACTCAAACGAAGAAATAGAATACGCGCGCGGGTGCTGTGTGCAGTTATAAAGCACGCGGGTTAGCGTCATTAATGACGCTTGAGGTGGTTTGACTCGTGATCTAATTTCTTAGACTCATCCAATGAAAAAAAGTTGCTTAGTTGCGTATTTCACCTCCTCCCCCTCAGTGACTCCTGTCATGTTTGAGCAATAAAAGCAATTACTGTATAGTTAAACCACAGGCAGCCCAGGCTTGGTTTCTGTGGTGTCATGTTATGAGGAAATGTAGCACTTCTTTTGCGAAAAATCCTTAAAACGGACTAAATTCAAAAGATAACCACGCAGAGCGAAAGAAGTGCTATTTCTCAATGATCAGGTAAAATTTCGAGGCTTTATTTCACGTTTTAATGATTTTATTGAAATTTGTGAAGAATCCCCACACATTTCCTTATGACATGACACCACAGAAACCAAGCTTGGGCTACCTGTGTGAATATAAAATAAGTATTTTTTTTAGTTCCGCTTTGGTGATACTGATGGTCGCTCGCTATAGGACTAAATGTTAGTACATTCACCGGCAATGAAAAGGTCTCAGTCTGCTAGAAGATGAAGTCAAATATGTGATAGAAAAGGTAACACTTTCTTTTTTCGTTGACTATTGTCAGTTAGTCCGTATTAAGTGGAAATTGTTGCAGAATTTACGATGTATTTCTGTGGTGACAAGATCATCTTGCATCTCAGTATCATGCGAAATTACAAAAATAATAATTGCGAAGTTAATGTGGAATGCACCCATCGTAATTATCATTAAATCGTACAACAAATGTAAGCTAGAGTTAGCTAGAGCATAGAGAMACAGCTTTTGAACGGTAGAGATCAAATTTGGCCTAGTAAACGAGTTATTGTGAGAGTTCTGAATACGGAAATGTTTCACTCGCTTAAAAAGTCTCATGGTGCGTTCTTATCAAGGTTCAATGATTCAGTTCATTATTCCAAGTTCAGTTGATTTATATCTTGCTTTGAAACTTGTAAAATTCAATCCCGTCCTTTACCTCAAAACATGAAAATATTCATTTCTGAAAGGATTTTTTGAACAAAACATCTCACCGAACAAATAGCTTGAAAATGGTAGCTATCACTGTTGAAATAATTTGAGCTTTGTGAAGACAAACTAAATAATAAACTTTTGATCCAAGTCCAGAATTCAAAATCGCAACTTCCTTTTTATTAAGGATGCATTCATAATGTATGGCAGGGCGGGGGAAAGGGGGGGTGGGGTAGGTGAAATTAAGGGGGGGATCCAGACTAGGCTAAAATAGTAATCGTACTAAATAGGTTAAATAGGTGAACCTTTGATAACATAAGAAAAACTACTATTAATCATCAATTATAACTTTCATACGTTAATGTTTATTCGGGTAAAATGTCAATGTATTTTATTAT